TGATATTCGACAGACTCTTTAACCCAAAGATTGATATGGACAACTTTTTCATGCTGCCAATACTGGAGATTTCTTCAGTGTGTCAGATTCTCTAAGCAAGTCATGAATACTCTGTGCATTCATATGGAAGACTGTAGATGCTGATGGTTCAGGCTTTAATGTCCTACTGAAAACTTGCTCTTATGTACAAAGTTACCATCTGGGATTCCCAACAACCTCATAGTCCTGTGAAATTCCCCTTTCATGGGTTGCAGCAGTCCATGAGCCCTGGGATTTCATATGCTCTGAGCAACTTCATTCTCAGTATCTTCTACCTCAGTACCATTATATATATATGCAGCATGGATGAGGGATAGAAGTAATGCAGTTGTATCAACAAATTCAGCTCTCTGATAGCTTTTTTTGACTAGTATTTCTCAATTCAAACAAGATTTTTTTTTCTTAAGACAAAATGGAGCCCAGTTACAAAACTATTGGTATTTACCTATTCCTTGAATTTCAGCAATAGAAGGATCTATTTAAAATGCTGGTGTTGAGGCTTTACAGTAACAAGTGATTTTCTCCTTTAATTCTAATCTGTTGGTCTGGGGAAGGTGCTGTCCATCAACATCTCCTCTCTCTGTCATCTGTCAACTTCCACTGCAGGCTCATAAGAAGGAGGAAGGTGCTTCAACAAGAACAGCCTAAAAAAGGAGAGAACAAATAAGCAAGAATTGAAAGAATTATTAAGAAGTTGCCAGTCAAAAAGGCCTGTTGGTCTTTGTTAGGTTCTTCTGCTCTTCTAGAGCAAAATTGTAGCATTTACTAGAATCTACTGAAGAGATTCGTGCAAAAAGGTCAGAAATAATTGTGAGGGTTGGCAGCAGCAGAGTTACAAAGGTTCCCATGAAATATTATCTTTTTCAGCCAGCCGTTCCCTGACATAAGCTGGGCACAATCATTGCCAGCTCCCTGCCTACCACAAATTTAATTTGGAGGCTCATCAAACAACACAGACAACAAGATCAGAAAGCTGAATCATATGAAAATTCATTTTTTATGATTTATATTTTTGTAAGATGAATGCAGATCAAGAATGAGCTATGCACTTTGTTACAGATTTCTCTTCTGACAAATTTGTAAAAGCAGTTTGAACTGTTTTAAATGTTACGGATACTTTCTGAATTGCTATTTGAGGACCTAACTTTCACTGTACACCAGCTCCTTCTTGCTTCACAGAAGTGCAAATGTAATCTGGAGTGGAATAAAGAGCCTATAGCTAGTCATTGTAGTTGAATTTCTGTCTAAGAATTACACACAGTCTAAGTACAGCCTCTCAATGTGCAATGTAGGGAGAAAGTGCAGAGGATGAAAGACTCATAATGGCACTTGCAGTGACTGCTGCTAACCATCTCAATGATTGTTTTAAAAACCACATTTCAAGAATACTGCTGTGATAGGAAATTCTATTAATGAGCAAAAAAGCTGTTTTCACTGTGAATAGATCAGTATCTGAAGTCTTGTGCAATATTCAGTCCTATTTCAGAAGCAAATCTTTTTTTTTCATCCAGTCATTGCATGACCCTCCAGGAGCATGAAGAGCGTTGGAAACCTTTAAAACTGAAGGCATATCTAGCAACATGGGGGCAAATGCTTTAATATTAGACGATGCTGTGGCATCAAGTGTTATTTTGCTTGAAAAGTATCATACGAAGTTCTTCTCATCAGAAAAACCCTGGTCTTCTCTGTAGTTAACAGTTTTAGATATCTCCTCTGGGTATATCCTGAAAAGTACAGGCAAGGATATTGTGATGTGACTTAGAGGGAAACCCAAGCAGAAGCATGTAGTGCTGTTCCTCTGGGCACATCCCAGTAGTATCTGTTTGTCTCTCTTCATGACTCTATGCAGATGTTGAACAATGCTGGAGGTAGGATTGTGATTGAACAGAATCTGTGACTGAGGGCTCTGGAGGACTGAAAGGAAGGCTCTGAGACATTGCAGGGCATCTATTTAACTTCTGCTATCTCCTAGCAGTGCAGTAAAGTACAGTGCCAGTCAATAACAGGATTCTGCAGCAATTTGTCCTTTAGAGACACAGAGCTTTTCCTTCAGAGTTGCTCAATGTCATTTTCTTTTTCATGCTCTTGTTGTGGTACTATATTGTAATTCTGTTTACTCCTCGCTTCCAAATAATGCAGAATGAGACTTTTTTTTCAAAAGCCCTGTGGGAGTTAGGCACCCATTCCACATTAATTTTCCATGCAAGCTGGCATCAGACTTAGACAATTCACGAAATCTCACTCGTCGAATGTGATCATTTATTAAAGAGTCCTCACTGGAAACTATGATTATTACAAAGCTTACCAGCCATAAACACTACTTTGTTATGCCTGTGACGTGTGTGCAGTTGATTCATAACAATAATGACACTTTTCACCTAGGCAGCACTTTTCATCCTAACCGAAGGATCAGAGTCAGTATTTCCATTTTGCTGGTGTTTCATATAAATCTCTGCATTTGTCATTGACGAATGAAAGAGTTGCCGAAATGTTTTCCCCATCATTTGTCTCTTGGAACATAAACAAAACAAGGAAAGTTCATGTTGTATCACAAAAAAAAAAGGAGTCTGTTGGCTCTGAGAACTTAATAATAATGGCAGATATGATGTAATAGCTGGGGCACACGGGCCCACACTCGGGGTAATGGAAGGGGTGCAGTCAGCATGTGGATAGAAACACCCTTTGTAGTTCGTGGGGCACAGTATGTGGGTCTTAATGGCATATTGTGCTCCGTGTGTTTTCAATGATATGGTAAATAGATAATATGTTTGTGCTTGTATATTCTCAATGCATTCACTTGAAATCAGCATGTAACAGTGAATCACTGTGACATGAGGTTCCCTTTTCCACGCACAGTGAGAAAGATAGTTTCCAGATACAGCTGAGTTTATTTTCTTTCATGTGTGATGGGAACCACACTTGGTATTTACAGACTTAAAATAGCCTCATAACCACAACTATTCAGGCTTTTATTATGTATGAATCACGCGTGTGTCTAACAAACTCCGTTGTCAGCAGGAATGCAGGTAAAAGTGCAGGAGCAGCTCTGGATAAAGACAGTGTAAAGCGTTTCCTCTGCTCCTTAGCTTGAGCTTTCTCTTCTTTGAACAGCAAAAATATAGTAATAGCAACCTTTCAAATAAGATTGCTTTTTCAGGTTACTCTCTAAGTAAAAATTGACATAATGGGCCTAAAAATCTTTTCAGGTATAATCAATACCTAAAGGCAACACACCGTTGATTTGTCAATGTTGTTACAACTGATTGCTCTAGGAGATGTACAAATGCTACAGAATCTCAGTCTGAGGAGAGAAGACATAAAAACCTGGGAGGAAGGCATAGTGATAGGCTTTATCATTAGGAACTGTATAGAAAAGACTTACAAACGCCTGTCTTAACTTCAAAAAACTTATCCTGTGCTACTGGTAAACCTGGCCTGCTTCTTCTCCCATCCCTGGCTTTTAATGTAAATAATAAAAAGTTGTGTCACAAAAGTAAGAAGTACAAGAAAACAAAACAAAACAAAAAAAAACTGTATAATTAAAAACATCCCCATGAATGGCTGGTGTGTGGTTTCGGTAATGTGAACCCGAAGGAGAAGGCAAAGTGTGGGACTGTGGGTTTAGCTATAGTTTCAGAGGTTTTTTGCTAACTCCAATGAGGTGTCCTGAGGGCACAAGTAATTCTTCTCAAAAATGGTTTAAAAATATCAAATTGAGATTTTCCATGACATGATCTACAAAAAATACCCTTCATAATGTGCAAAAACTCGTGATGGGATGTTCCTACTTTAAGAACAATAGAAATGACAATAAGAACTTGCTGTGGAGACAGCCATGAAATGAAACTCTTGAAAGGCTAGAAAAATAGATACACTGGAAGACTCATAGGTCATATGACCTCTAGATGCTTGGCATGGAATTGTTTTGCATATCTGAGAATTTAAAAATACTATTTCTATCAGCACTGATTTTGTAGTTTTAGGCCTCCACCCTTACACATATGCTTGGCAGTAACTTTGATGGATTTTTATCTATCTGATCTATTGCCATTGTTACACTTATTTAATCTCAGAGAAGTTCTGAATTTTATAGATTTTGCTAATTTTTACTATCAATTTTTGAAGCAGAGATTGACATTTACAAAAGGAACTAGATTCTTCTTTGTAGGATGTCAGAAATGGAGGAGAAGCAAGACTTTAACGTAATGAAGTTTGGTGTAAATGATATCAGATTTTCTTAAAATAATTTTATGAAGTTTCTTGAAGTATTTTTGTTGAAATTTTTATTCAATTGGAAATTTTGAAGGTGATGTAGCAAGACAACCTCTGCATTCTAGCTTTGTTCACTTGTCCTGGGAATAATTTAAAACCTACAAGCTAAGAGCTGTGTTAGGACATCTAGGGTTCAGAGGGGTATAAAGGGGAGGATGAAGGAGTGCTGGTTAGGGTCAGCTGGAGGGAATGAGACTTGATGTAATTCTGCTCATTCAGAAAAGGATCTTCTAGCATGCAGATGGGATGGATACAACCACTGTTCTTGTAGACAGTCTGGATTCACCCTGGAGCACCTGATATTCCCAGTGGAATTGCTGCAAAGACAAGCAGAGAACAGGTAAGAGTGAGGGCATCACTGAGTAACAAATATCATTTCTGGTTGTACTATATGGGATCATTCAGAGCCACCTCTGAGAATGTTTTGTGACAAAAACATGCATAAAATTGTATGCATGTGCATAAAACTATATAAACATACAGATAAAAGATTTATACAAATACAAAGCAGTACAGATGTTGGATGAGTTTGGCCTTGTTCCTGGCTTTGAGGCTGCCCTTAGGCATGCTGCCTGACATGCACAGACAGCTGTAATCAAATATTTTTACCTGCTTCAAAATAAATCAGAAGGGAAACCAGCGAGTTCACTGACCTTTTCTGATTTTTGTCATTATCTTTTCAGATCCCATGATAATCAACACATGTTTGGAAAGTTGGAAGGTCAGAGAAAAATACCAGTCTTGTAAGTAATGGTGAAAAATATTGCATGCTGAAAGCAAGTTCTAATGTGTGGAAGAATGTTTTTGTGGGGGCTTTACTATATGTGATGAATTGTCAGGTTACTGTATCTGGGTCTGTCGACAAATTTAGTCAATGTGGCTAGATTAGTGAACTTTTGTTTACAGTGGGTATATGCTGTGTTTAATGCTCTCTTAACATTCATTTAGACTATATGATGATAATAGTCCCTGAAAAAATCCAAAGTGCTTACTTTACAAATTAGCTTAAATGGACAGTAAGAAAAATCTATATAGCTCAAAAATTCTGTTTTCTTTCCCTTAATCTTCTTGGGCACTGAAAGGCAGAAAAACCAGTTTCTGGCCATCCATTACGTATATAGATTTCTGATTTTAGTGGTGCCTACAACAGAGAAGGCAGTTCAGCTGGCTCCATGAAGTCTATTAGATATATTGTTGTGCTGATATATTTTACCTGGAAAGCACATTAGTACATGGGTGGGGATAACTGGAACTTTTGGAATAAGATATGCAAACAACAGAGTTTTATTCTGAACTCACCCTTCTCTTGCACATTGGATTTTTTTTTTTTTCTTCTGATTTTTCTAGTGAAGTGATTCCTAGATTTTTTTTTCTTTTATTTTGTGAAGCATTTTCCTCTTTCCACTCACCACTCAATGTCTTGAATTTAAGATGTGCACGTCTGCTTTCTAATATAATGTGTTTTATAAGACTGATCTAAAAGGCCCGCTTTTAAAAGCAAAGGAACACGTTCCATAATCCTGTACTCGCACACCCTGCATGAAATGGACACTGCTTCTGCATTCCTTTGCCTACCTCGCTAGAGCACCAGCTTAATGAAAACTGGGTGAGCACTTAGGCTGTGGTTGCTTAGTTACATCAGTCTGATTTCTGTTTGCCTTGTTTCATTTCACATCTTCTGAGGGCTTTCTCTACTCCTCTAAGAACGATCTTTCCAGCTCAAAACGAGCTGGTTGTGCAATTTGTTGAGGGCTGATTAGTGGGAGTTTGGAGGGCATGGGGAAGGGTTTTACAACACGGCCTGAGAGCAAACATATCTGACTTATACCTCTTCCTGTTATTCTTTTATTGCAAAATTTAAATCTCATTGGAAAAATTAGCACAAACACCCTTAAAAATAAATGCTTTGGGGCTTCTTCTTTGCTGTATGGGAGATGGGTGTTTTCACATGGATTCAGAACAGAAATGTCTTGTAGACTGTCTGATGCTTTTGGAAGAAAAAGCAGAGGAGAAAATGTATATCTGCTTTGCCTAGCAGACAGCTCACTAAATCCTTTAATTATAGAGAGAAAACCCAAACAAACAAACAAAGTCACCATTAGATTTACCATAACGTCTAAGCCTATATCTAATTCTGCCTGCTCTGTGGTTCTGTCCTATAAAGCTACTGATCTGCGTCAGTTCACTTGATTTTGCAACATATTTTATGTGCTCAGTGAGCACAGGAAGTCATCAGTGATACTGTTCAAGCTTTTTATAGTGAAGCACTTTCCTTTTTTCCTGGATGCAAGAGTGGGGAGTGTTTTGCAGGCTTGAACTCTCTGATATTTTGACATTTCCCTTGCCTTGTGCAATCTTTAGTTCAATATTTGATAATTCACAGTTTGTATCAGCAGTCCCTTGCAAGGACTTCCAAGGGGAGTTTTGCAAATAAATCACCCTGCAGTGGTTAACTGCAAGACCTGAAAACTCTCTATGATTCTTCCTTCAAATTTGCTGAGGACATTTGCTATTAGACTTTTGTATACAGAGAAAGCTACAAGCAATATAATCAATCATTCTGGGAACGTGGGCTCCTGAAACAGCTGTATATCTGGATAAAGCGCTTGACAAGTTACCAGAGACAGCTTAGGGGTGGTGGTGTGCTCTCTACACGTTGTGCTAAGTGCTGTTCAAACTACCCTTGACTTCCAGCCAAGAGATGGGAAAGTCATTAGCAGTAAGATTTGAACAACAGTTGCTTCTTGTGTTTACAAAGCCCCCTATATGATCTGTATGTTGACAAGTTACAAACTGAATGGAAAGTAGATGACATATTCTCTATGCAACTTGTGCAAAAATCCCAGTAATCAGCACGCAGTTGATTTAGTGTCCTGCAGGTCTCTCATCCAGCATATGGCTGAAGGCTACAGCAGCAAAGGGGGCAGATAAGCAGTGAAAGAACAGGAGCCATCTGGAACAAGAGCACAGTAGCAGTTTGTAACTGGAACACAATGTACATCCCCACAGAAACATGAGCATTCCACTTGCTGTCACTGAAGTCAACAATCTCAGTGTGCTTAAGAATAGCACTGCAGGTAAATAAATCTTAACAAGTCTTTAGGCGGGCCTAATTTATCCATCTTTAACACAAGATCTGTGCTCTGTTCTGCGGTGGCAGAATTACTGGGGCAATATTTTCTTCAAAATAAATGGTCCTGGACAATTTCTAGAAAGTGCTCTGTGCAACTCATACATAATTGACATCAAGTTTGGCATTGTCCTCTGTTTTTCACATTGCCTAGGTTCCTCAGCAAATAAACACATGATCAAATTAATCCCAGTATTCACTATGTTTAGATTAGGGATGGAACTGGCTCATTATATTTAATTTATGGGTAAAGAATCTCCATTAGTTTGTAATGTTTCCCTGTGCTGTTGTAATGGACTCTGCTTCCTGAACTGCAGTCCAGACACAGAAGCTGGTTAAGGCCGAACTAAAATTTTGTCAAGATACCTGAAGGGCTGTGCTGGCAAAAGTGAATCAGTTCAGAAAAACAATAAGACTAGTATTAGTATTTATTTAATTTTTCTAATGACAAGGCTGTGTGTGTATATATATATGTATGTGTATATATACATATTTATGAATAGAGAGAGAGACGCAATTTCACAAAAAGGGGGAAAGCTTCAGAGATTTAAAAGGAATTAAGTGTTCAGCTGGCAGTGATTTTTCAACTGTGACTCAATGACTTTCAATGGGTCTCAAGTATCTCTTTGTTCCTCTACAATTTTCTCTGTTGTAACCCCAGCAGGCACTAGTACAGATTAAGTGTTGACCTGCTGGAATGCAGCTCCACAAACAGAGATCTGGGGATCCTGGTTGACACCAAGTTAACCATGAGTCAGCAGTGCCCTCGTGGCCAAGAAGGCCAATGGGATCCTGGCCTGCATCAAGAGGACTGTTGCCAGCAGGTTGATCCTAGCCCCTCTACTTAGTCCTGGTAAGGCCTCACCTGGAGCATTGTAGAGTGACAAAGATGATTAAGGGGCAGGAGTATCTGTCTTATGAGAAAAGACTAAGTGAGCTGGGCCTGTTTCGCCTGGAGAAGAGAAGGTTGAGAGGGGATCTGATCAATACGTATAAGTACCTGAGGGGCGAATGTAGGGAGGAAGGGGTCAAGCTCTTCTCAGTGGTGGCCAGTGATAGGACAAGGGGTAATGGATACAAACTGAAACGCCAGAAGTTCTATCTGCATGTGAGGAAGAACTTCTTTCCTGTGAGGGTGACAGAGCCCTGCAACAGGCTGCCCAGGGAGGTTGTGGAGTCTCCTTCTCTGGAGATCTTCCAAACTCGCCTGGATGCCACCCTGTGCCCTGTGCTCTGGGTGTCCCTGCTGGAGCAGGGGGTTGGGCAAGATGATCTCTAGAGGTCCCTTCCAACCTCAACCATTCTGTGATTCTGTGAATACCAGCAGATGTGAATCTCAGCCCTTTTCTATGAGTATTCTGAAGATTGTCTTGGAATTTGCAAAGTACGTAGCAGAATACACTACCTGGAAGCTCAAGTTATAGATGCGTTATTCAGAGGAATGTCAAAACGTGAGGGCACATATAAAGTGTAACAGCTTGGAGTTACTACTGGACCAAAGCAGCAGCGTCTCAACCTACTCAATATAATGGCTGCACAAAATATGTGAGAGAAACTAGTCAACAACCTGGAATTTCTCAGGAGTTTCAGAAAGTTTCTACAGATATTTTTGTACTTTTCTAGCCTCATGCAATATGAATATATTACTGCATGAAATGATTTACTATCTTTAAATTCTCTAGAAAAGATTATTTCTCTGTTTGTGATGGTTGTTACCTGTTATTGAAGGTAAACTCAGTTGTAGAAAGAACATTTTCATCTTCCCCCTATATGTGAATATTTTTTCAGAAGTAGAACCCTAAAATGTATTGAAAATGCTACTGAGATTTCAGTTCTTCAAGAATAGCTGGGGTATCCAAGGAGGCTGGTGGGCATGATAGTCAAACATACAGTCAGAAAGAATCAAAATTAGATACACAGGGAGATGCATGTGTAAAACTCTCTCTTCTTTATATAAAAAAAAATCTAAACATAATTGTCAGAACAAAAACACAATTCATTGCTGAGATTAAAGAATATTTAACTGCTTAATGTAAGTCCTTGGTCCAAAAAACCCTTTTTTTTCCCGCATAAATGCACATGTTAATCCATATACTTACATGAAAAGGATTTAAAGCACAGGTTTGAAGCACAGCCATTGCACTGGGCTTTTATGATGAGATGGGGAAAGTTTTAAACACTTTCTATTCTTCAAAGCAGAAGCATGAGCCCAACTATGTCCACCTCATTCTCCGTTTTCACCATGAGCCATTAGCTCCATCTGTGAAAAGTGAGTGCAAAATACTACCAGCATGAGTAAACCAATTTCTAATTTCCTTGCATAGGCATGACATTATAAAGTATAAGGAAGTGGAAAAGCAGGTCCTTTCTGTTGGCAGTATCAGGTCTCTAGATGCTGTTCCTTTATGTGCCAGGTTTTTCTTGCCATATTTCTCAGGTAATTAAGTTTGTTTACAGGAAACCTTGTTCCTTTTCTTGCCTATCCCCCTTTTATAAGTGATTTTGCTCTGAAATGCTATGCTGAATAGGGATAGGTATTTATACTGCTCTACCTGCCTTACAAAGTGAGAACTGAGTCAAAGATAGGAAACTCCAAACAGATGGTGACTATCAGGCTGAACTGAAATTAAAAGTTCATGTTTTCATGTCAACACCAATCATTTGAATTCTTACTTTAACATGGATCCACAGACTGTGCTTCTGGTTAGTGGTCTAAGGGCTTTGCAGCGCCTTTTCTTCAGCGTATCCTCAACCACAGATCACCAGGTCATATCCAATTCCGTGATAATGAACAGTTAGAGGATTGACAAAGACAGTTTTTAAATCAGAGGTGGCCATTAATTCATTTTAATGAAAGACTGTAATGTGGAAATATTTCCAAACCAAGCCTCTCACTTTGGAAATTTTTCTGATCAAATCTTTGGAATTGGTGAAATTTCCAACATGGGTTAAATTAAAATTTTAGGGCATCGAGAGTTAGGATTTTAAGAAGTTTCTCACTGGGACCTCTCACAGATAAACCATAATATCATGGTTTAAATAAAAAATATCAAAAGTATTGACCATATTTCCTTCCATGTATTTCCATTTTGACTTTAAAAGTCCGGTGAGAACTTTCTCCAGGTCCTTATGTTGTTACATGAAGGATTTAGGCCATTTGCTCTTGGCATAAAAAGGTTAGGAAATTACCCAGGCCTTAGTCCCATACAGAGCTGGACGCTGCATTTATGACCCAACAAAGCCATTAAGCACATGTTTAACTTCCAGCTCCTCAAGAGTCTTATTCCTTTCAATGGATTTACTTAAGAATTTGTGGGGTTTAGGGCCAGAATTCTCAGCATCTTGCTGAACGAGGAAATTTCAGTGTGAGGACCTGAAGGTAATCCCTGTGGGCTGTAAAGACATGTTCAGCTCCTGATCTTTGAGATTTCTGGGGGGAAAAGTGTGAAAGTCCAGAAATAGAAGCTTAACTAATTTTCTTTTGATCATGGGTTGTGCAAGGGCTAACGAGGATTATTACCACTCCTAGGAGACAAGACTACACATAAAAATGGCAACAAAGGGAAGCCTGTTTTGGATGGCATTGACTTGGAAATACAAAAGGAAAAACTGCAGCTCCTTTGCTTGACGTGAAATTCAACTATATTTTCCCCAGGAAAAATGAAATGTAATACTGGTAATTTATACAGACTGTTGAACAAATTGAAACCATATACAGAAAATTAGGTTATGTTTTTATGGAAAGAACAGAATTTTATTTAACAAGCACTACCTAGAGCCAGCAGTTTTTCACTATATAACTTGCAGGGTGCTTTAATTACGCTGATGTCAGAATGTCTGTTTCTAGCTCTAATCAGTTAATTCAAGGTTTTATTGGGTCTGAAAAAATCAATTTATTTTTGTTCCTACTTTTTTTTTATAAAATAAAAATTACAAATAAAAGAAAACTTATTCCATTAAAATTTTAAGATAATTTATATATATAAAACTATCCCTATTCAAATTAAAAGTAGATAAAGTGCCTTCTTTGAAAAAATATGCATTTGGATTTTAGTGTTTTGCTTTTTTTTTTTTTTTTTTAATTCTGATACACTGTTTCTGAGCTTAATTTTGTGTTGTATGGATGTTGGTTTGCATTGGCTGTTTGGTGGTAAAAAGGAAGGGAGATGTCTTTTTAAAGCCTTTAGGGTAGGTTCTTCTTTGTAGGAAATGAGCTATATTTTGTCAGTTGATAATGGATCTTTTATTGCCTATTTTCAAACACTGGCTTAGTGATAACACAAATGAATAGATGTAGATGAATTCTGTGTTTTCTTTCCATGCTGCTTCTGCAAGGAAGTGACATATTGGTATAACTGAGTGCATTTCCGCATGTGGCAAATGGATAAAGAATGGAAACTGAATGGACTCTTTGTTATTTGGTAAATGTGCAAGGTAATTCAAGTTGGTAAAGGTATTTTCACCTAATATTGGATAAAATTCAGCCTTGATGGCCTTGACACTGGGCCTGAAAATGGAGTCTTAGAGCATTTTCACCCTGTGACGGTCCTGAACATTGGGATAAACGTCACTCTTACTTGTTGCTTTCTCTTTTCTAAAGAATCTTGCTTTGTTCATTTGTTTTCATGAAAAAGAGCATTTTCAACAGGAGAAAGGGAGAGTGTCTGATTCATAAACCATCTCATGCCTAAGATGCACTCCATAAATCCTGAAAGAGGTGGTTTGAAATGTCCTCAGACAGAGGAGAGAATTTTGAGCCTGTCTCTTCCATATTCTGGTTGAGTAGACTAATCAAAATTGTACTGAGGATTACGATGAGAAGTGGAGGGAGGAATAACTGTTGGGCCATTTGCTCCTGTTTGACCTGTGAAGAAAAGAATAATTCTACTTTCTTTTTTATTTTTTTTTTCTTTGAAAGAGAGGTGGTGGAGATCTATCATTGGGCAATTATCCCTATGGCCACTTTTCTGAAGCTCTAAGAAGGAGGCAAGATTTAGGATGTGTTCTTAGCTACTCCTTTTTGCCTCGCTCTAGATGGTTCCCTCCCAGAGACTTGACTGTTTGGAATCTCATTCTGAGATGTCTAATACTTCCCTGGCATCACTTTGAGAGTCTGGTCACCTAATACAGGGTTGTGAATGTGGCTTGGCCAAAAATTTAGATTTATGGTGCTTCATTATTGCACCTCGTAAATCATTTTTGTGGCATTAGCTCAAATAAAGTATTTTTTCCCCTAATACCTGGTCATTCTCTGGGCTGGGTGTTTTTTAAGAGAAGCAGCATAGGCAGGATGGGCCTCTAAGAAATAGTTTCAGTCAAGGTAGCATTTGAAAGGTATGAACATGTGTTTTATCTCTTATAAAGGTATGTACATGTGTTTTATCTCTTATAATTAAGAAATTAAGATAAGTGTTTGCTCAGATTAGACCTAATGTATCCAAAAGGACTGAGTGCCTTGCTTTTTTTCTTTTTTTTTTTTTTTTTTTTTTTTTTTTTTTTTTTTTTTTTTTTTTTTTTTTTTTTTTTTTTTTTTTTTTTTTGGTTTTTTTTTTTTTTATACATTTAACCCTTTTACTGAAGGCTCTACGTTTTCTGTTACCCATTTTCTCTATTTGGATCAGGCAGAGAGTATAACAAGCACTGCATGTTCAGAATAACAATAGCTGTAATATACAACATTTTCAGACTTTGGCTGAAAAACATTGAATGGAAAGTTCCATTCTTTCTGCATTATTTGTGTTGAATAAAAAAGTTCCATATTTCCTTTTCTGTCCTTTGAATCATCATGTTACCAAATCTCAGTAACTATTTAATAAGATTAATAGATGGAGCTGCAGCATTATCAATGGCTATCGCCTCTGTTACCCTTGAAGACATGTGACTTTTTTTTCATTTTTTTTCTAATAATGTGTTTTCTCCTCTTTTTTTAGACTCTAGTTGTTACCCCATTCTGCATCTAAACTATTCTACCCAGAATCCAGGAGAACTTAGAGGTGAGAGTCCGTATTTCCTGAAATAAACCCTGAAATAAATCAGGAAACACATTTCATGTACCATATTAACTCTATTTCCCCTTTATAAATATAATATTCTTGCTGTGACTCTGGAGAGACTGGCCTTACAGAAGCAAAATAGCTATCATTATATGTGTGTATACATCCCAAAGAGACTCATAATCATTTCCATTTGTTCATTGGATGGTGGCCATGTGCTTAATCGTCATTCAAGTGCAGGGAGACCATGTAGCATGTGAAAGCTGTATTTCAGACAGCAAAACTGCCAAAAACATCGAAGTATGTAACTTGACTATCCAATTATATTAACAAATGATGATGGTTAGAGTTTGAAATGGTGGAAAATGAACTGTAGTCCCAATCTGTTGCTAGTAATAGCTTCTAAAATGAACTGCATTTCATGATACCTTTTCTCCCAGTCCTTTTTATTTTAGAAGCCTTATCAGTCTCAATTTTTGTGCTGGGAAATGGCTGTGCTGTTGTGTCTCTTCTCCATAGACAAAAACCTTTACAAACAGAGAGAGTATCCCTTTTCTCATATCTCTTGAGTGAATTTTGTCCTTATGGTCTTATTATTTTCCCTCCTTTGGAACTTGACCTCATGGCTATCTCACTTTAAATTATTAAAATCTGTTTCAACACTACCTGTAAATCCAGTAAATCGTGGCTTGGCAAAATGATCTGCAAGTGGCAAATATAGAAAATTCACCCTAGTATCAAGAAAATGGCAATATTGCCACATTTTATTACTATATTATGAAGAGTTGATTATTATCCCCTGAAAGGAAGGAGTTAGATAAATTCTCATTTAAAAAAAGGGGTATAGTGTTCCTATTTGCTCAAAAGTTGGAAAATTTGACCTAAATATGCCCTAAAAGATTTAACACAGGAAATGAAATGTCCCCACGTACACATTTTTAGATCTCATGATTTTAAGCATCACCTTAGGACTTTTGGTTTTACTCATATCATTTGAATAGTTGTAGTTGAAGAGCAAAGGATGAAGAATAGATGCATTCCATATATTGTTCTTTTATTTTCACAAACCATATCTTAATGTAATTGACAGAGCTAAAGACTGGAGAGGAAGAAAGTCTCACCCCAAGTCTATTTAACTGATAGCCTGGGGAAATAGAAATTATAAAGAAGAAGAAAAATATCATTTCAACTGAGGTAAGAAATGTGATCAGGGATCAATGAGACATAAAAATAAAGACAACAAGAATTCAATAATGTTGTATGAGAAAAATCTGAGAAGATGCTCACATTCACAGTGGCTGTACTGTGTAAATACAGAAAAGTTACTGAGCAAAGTTGGCAAAGACACCACATCTGTGAGGAAGGCTGCAGGAAATCAAGGTAGCTCATCTGAAAACACTGAAAACCAACAAATCTGCTTGGTAATTTTTACTAGCTGCCTGTTTGAGAGGAGGACTGTTGTTCAGACAATGTTGCTTGCTGTATAAACTGACTTTAATATCTTATTCCTGTGAGTGAACACATACATTTGAAATTGTTATATCATGGATATCCTACTATCATTAAGAGATCTTCAGCACCATGAACAGATTCTTATCCTGCAGGAGATATCCAGACTTGAAGCTGACATTTTATATATTCTCTTTAACTCAAGCAATAAGAAAGAGGCACACATCATTGGACTAGATGATCCCTGGAGGTCCCTTCCAACCTTGAATATTCTGTGATTCTGTGATCATGAGCTCTAGTCTTCCTGAGGCAGGTGGAGATGGTTTCCTTGCTTGAAGGAAACGTGCACTAGTGACAAGGTGTGTTACCAATGAAAGGAGCTGTGCAAAGATGTCAGCAGACTGTGTAAAAAGAGATTGACTGGATCTTCTTTGAACTCAACAGAAACAAGAGCCTGCAAACCCAGCTGTACTGAAGGAGGAACAAGAAGCATCTGTGCTTACTGGGTTGGGAAATATAGACTCATTTGATCGTGCAGACTAGAAGCTGATGACCTCTGGCACAAGGAGGAAGGCTTCTGCTCTTCCTGCGAGCCTGAAAACACAGAATGGGTTTTCACTACAGTCCATTGATCTGAAATAAGTAGATGAGGCCATAGTCAAACAACTGGAAGAAGTCTCCTGTTTGCAGGCTTTATTCCTCCTGAACAAACTTGAACCACCACAATATCTTCCGGAAGGACAACACAACAGGGTGTAAGCAGTATAGGAGGTTTCTGAGGTGCACTGATGATAACTCACTAAGTGATCAAATGATGAAGAGAGGTTGGATTTTTTTTTTTTTTTTTAAAGGAAGTATGGGCTGGGGATTTGGAAACTGGGATAGCAGTGACCATAAAATGGTGAAGTTCAGGATTCAGTAAGGAGGAAAAACCAATAGCAACATGAAAGGTCTTGGTGCCTGCAAGAAGTTTCTGAGGAGTGGAAGAAATCAAATATCACTCCTATCTTCAAGAGCTATGAGAAGGAGGATCTGTGGAACTATAGGCCAGTCAGACTTATATCAATCCCCGAGAAGGTGGTGGAGCAAATAATTCTGGAAGCCATTTCTGAACATACTAAGGGCAAGGTGATTGGAAGTAGTTAGCACAGATTTATGAAGGAGAGCTCAAACCTGACCAAAATAATTGCTTTCTACCAAGAGATAACTAACTCTGTGAATGATGGGAGAGCACTTGCTCCTTTCTTAATGTCCAAAGAAGGAATATTTAGTATAACTTACAGTAACTTAATGAAAGTTCTTCAGCAGGTACATAGACAGTGAAGAGTTTTTTGGAACAGATTATTCATGTCTTTAATGGAAGAAGGTGATAAAACACTTCTTCAATACATAACTAACCACTGTGCTGAAAGAAACTGACAGGAAAATTGAGTATTGAGAAAGGGGAAACAGGAGAAAAAGAAATCTGAGCTTCATGGAGTGGTAGAGAGTCTCGTTTTTGTTTTTTATGTTTTCTCTAAATCAAAATTTAGGCCAGATGTGTGGAATGAGGGCAGCAGCATAGCTTTAGAATGAGCCACGTTACTGTGTCAGTAGTGTGAAGCCCTGGATACCATTGTAAAATATCTGCATTCTTCTAGTGCTGTGAAATCCACAGGGTTTCAACAAAACCCTGAAAATCCTCTCTTTAAGTGGGAATTATTTCCAACAAAGTCATTTTAACAGGACCAAAGTGATCAGAGGAATATTTAATAATCCCGATTCCCAGGATTATTAGTGGTGCTAGCTAGTTTCTACCACAAATCTGTTTTTATTTTTTACACAATGGACTAGAATTTGGTTCAAAATATTTTGTACAAATATTTCTCTTGGATCAACTGATTTCTATGAACAACAGAAGGCCTTTATGGGGCAAAAATGTTTTATTCATTTTCAATGGATAGCACTATCTCATTCATTTGCAGAGCACTGTATCATGAAATAGGAAATATTGTTGCCAACTGATATTGACAAACACCATAGGAAAGAATCTGTGGATGGCCAAGTCATAAAGATATGAAAAGTTTCGAGGAAAAAAATGTGAAGGTCTTTGGGGACTCTCTTATCCAGTTAATGAGGTCAAGATGAGAAAAAAAATGCTCCAGTTGAGCATCCTCATATCATATATAAAGTATGTTTCAAAATATTAATACTAGAAACAGACCTATTCTTGATGAACTCCAGATGATTCTACTGATGTTAATACAAAGAAAAAAAAAATCCAACGTCTTTCCTCCTCCATCTCCTTTTCTTGCCAGAGGTAATCCAGAGATTCGTGCACTGTTAAAGTCATTATGACATATTTTGGAACTAGCAAAAATGAAAATGATTCATCTCATCTTTCCTATGATGTTTAAAATGTATTTTGCAGTAGTTTTAAGTACAAGCCAGTTAGAAAACTTTCAGCAATTTAACTAAATATCATAGGAAAAACCTTTGAAGTGGAAGATCGTGAGTGAACACATCTGCTTAACAGAATTGAAAGCACAAAGGTTAGAGATCTTTCCCTTAAGTCCTATAAAAATTAAAACAAAAGATGCACTTTGTTTTAAATGTTTTACTTATGTTTTACACATTGTTTTGTATTTTTGCATTTATGCAGCAAAATGAATGTTTAGATGAACAAATATCTCATTTTTCTCTAGGCAGAAGTATTGTGATTTCTATGTTTACAGCTAGCATAAATGCTATTTTTGATAGCAAAACTCTCGTTTACTTGTGATTGAATAAAGCCTTTAGGAGGTAATGTGTAAAATCATCTTTGGTTCTTTAATATCAACTATCATTAAAGTTTTTAAAGGGACTGCAGTTTAAAAATTTCCATATAATATCCAAGAATTTGATCTTGCCTTACGAAGGATTGTCTCTTGATCAAAAGGATAGAGTACATGAATTAAGAAGTCTTTTCCATCTTGGAAATACTAGGATTTTGTGATTCATTCTATTCATAGCACAGCCTGAAATATTTTTCCATTATTATCCAGTCAGTAATGCTGAAAAAACATCCTTAAGCCTAATGATCTTGTTCAAATATTTTTTGAGTGGAGGAAGGGATGGAATAGATAAAAAAAAAAAAAAAAAAAAAAAAAAAAAAAAATCCTCAGACCTCAGTAAAGATTTTCCGTATTGTAGAAGTGATAGAACTATTTTATGATATTTTTTCTGCTTTTTCACATAAATACATCTTTCCTTTTTGAAACTATAAATGCCAGATTCCTACAGAGCTTGCTTACTGAAGCAATCTGTCTCATATGTTGCTTCTAGCTAAGAATTTTTTAATTAATTCTAGTCACAGGAGAAGTCTCTTCCAAACTGGTAATGACCATGTCCGGGCCCAGATGATTTTGTGTGGAGTAGTGAGTAAGTTTGTTTCATCTCCTTAAACCATTGGACATAGTGTTGAGTATATGACAAAACAAGAGTAGTGTAACTTGGCCTTAAGGACTGCTACATTAAAGAAATCAAAAGATTAGTACCAGTCAGATGAGTAAAATTCAGCTTTACCAGTAGATGAAATTTTAAAAATAAAATATGTTCTTGGAAAAATAGAATGGGCTTAACAATGAAAATAGAAATGGATTTTAAGTAATCTTAACTGATTAAGGATATACTTGACATATTCCAACAGCTCAGCTAGTTTGTGAAATTGGATGTCTTCTTCAATTTACATTGCATTTGGCACATGCCGGACAGTGACTCAGCTGAAGTCACTGATGTTAACTGCCTCAGGCACTTTTGTAGTCCACAATGGAGTGATTTATTAAGTTGCCTTTTTTCACTTCTCTTGCTAAGTGGTGGGCATCACATAAGATTATACTAGATCATCATGTCTCTTCCTTTTCTCCTCTTTCTCTAGTCTTTCGCATGAAATATTTCAATTGTGCGTCCTGATTAGATTATATATCTATATAATCTAATATATATATCTTTAACCTGCTTTTATTGTGATTACAGCCTTTATAAACATTGTGATACATTTTTACAAATGTCATGAGAAATATGAAAGGTGCAAATTTTTAAAGATTTGTAATATGTAACTTGGTACGAAATTTTAGAGTACACCCGTTTAAACAAAATTGACTGAAGTATTAAGTTTCAAGGCCATATAAGGTTCCCCTTTCTGAGACTGTATTAGTTTAGTTTAGGGAACTCCGTGACACTGCTAAACATCTGTAATATTCAAATAATCATTTAAACTCCTAACCTCTTATCTAGCATATTCCTAATAAAACTATTTTTTCCAATATTAAGCGCTAAGCTTTAATATTAAATATCAATAAAAATGTCATTTAAATACATCTATTAATAGTGCTGTATGTCCTTTGTCTTTATTTTTCTCCATGTATGTCACTTTCTATTTTGGTCCTCAAGAAGTTTTCTGTATTCTACTTTTATAGACTCATATTTTAGGTCAAAAGTTGTAGTCATGATAATTCTGCAAGAACTTATTTCTTACACCTCCTAACACAACTATTGTACAGAAAAGGGAGGCCATGTTTAAATAATACAAGAAATTGCTTCTTTGGGCAATGTGTTTTATTTATTTTAGTTAGGAAGGTGAGAGAAGAGAGAACGTGACACAACGTGTTTTTGTGGACTAGTCATTACTTTTGTGAAAAATATTGTGCAATATGTGCATATGCATTTTAGTAGTGCCTCACATTTTTCTTTGGTTATTTATAAATATTTTGGTTATGTTTAAAACAGAAAAAGAGTAAGAGCAAGAGCTCCTATCTACTGCATAATCTTAGTTCAGCTTCAGTTTTTCAAACAAGTCTTACTGCCTTTACTTGTGAGTAGGATAGAGAGAAATAAGCTACTTGTATAACCATGAAGAATCAATGTTGTTTGAAACATGCATCATCTATGCAACCTTGCATATAATAGTGGGTTTTGATGTGTAATTATCTAGTCAGTAGTAAGCCTTGTTCTTCCCCCAAATTTCCCATCAAGAATCTACTCTGTAATGGCTTTTTTAGGCATAATATTGGATTCCTCTACTGTTGTCTCAAATGCTGCTTTAAATTTTCACATAGTCTCCAAGTTTCTTTTGGAGTTTGAAATGACATCTTAATATCCTTAAAAAAGAAGCTGAGGTAAATTGGAAACAGCTTACTGAAATTATATTGGAAATACAGAAATTTAAATCATAAAATTCCACTCCACTAAATATGAGAAACCTGCTCAATGAAGACTTACTGATATAATGTGGAAGTGATCCCACCTTACTGAAGCCAGGACCCTGGTAGTAGAACCCCACACAGAATTTTTAATAAGAAGTTCATTAAAATTGTACGTTACCACCAAATTATGTTTTCAACAGATCTACAAATTCTATCAAAAATTCCAGACAATGACAGAAATTTTCCTAAGCAATTGTAGTTTAGATTGAATGGAGCTGTAGAAAGCATTCAGAAGACTATACTAGTTAACTTCAAAAAGTAAGAGAGGAGAAAACTTTGATGTAGCAAACAGGAAATTAAGTGTTGTGACCATGTTCAATCTAGCAGAAGCAAAAAGGAGAAGTGGTAAACACTTACTTTACCACTTCACTACCACTTCAGTGGTAAGAAACCAGCACTAGAAACAAAGCTAAGAGGTATCATGGAGCTGGGCTCGTGCCATTTCTGCAAGATTTATCCTATGAGAATATAGAGGAATACTTTACACCTACAACTGAAAAGCTGAAAATGGAATAGATATTTCACATTGTGAAATCCAGTGTTCATGTGTAACTTTCACTTGCTAAAAATGCTTATCTAGGGATAGGACTGTACACAGGAGATGCCATCCCAAAT